CATCTCCTTTCTCTTCCCTCCCAGCCGTAGAGAACAGGCTTGAAGGTATATTCCAACCTCCACTCCAGCATCAGCCGACACATCACCTTCCCGCCGCAAGCACCTTTCCTCCACAGCTATGAATAGAAGCTGCTTCTGTTGCTGAGAATAAGCAAGAATCTAGCAGAAAAGAAACATCTAGCCTGGCCCATTTCTATCCCTCGCTGAAAAAGCAGCTTTCAATTGGCAGTTCTCTCACTACTGTTGCAAACAAGGCTCAGATTTGTGCTATTCCCAACATAAAACCCAAACAGAATGTATTTATAAATTTACATGGTTTAATGCCACCACACATTTATTTGGAGTACCAGAAATCATGATCTAACCAATTTATGTTTTGCCACTGTAACCATCACTTTTTACTGCTTTATATATTTAAATGGCCTCTTTGTGGTACTCGTTCAAACCCAGATATTTCCAGGACAGGGGCAGGCATTAGGGGACTCTACCTGTGCTCTTGTCTAGATCAACCAAACTGACTCCACAGTCACTCTTGCATAGAGTAGTAGACACTCCATAAATGTGGATGGCACTTTATTGGATTGGAAGAATATATTCTCAGAAGGAATGATTCTACGTCTAGATTATCAACATCTTGTGGGCAGGAACCACATGTTATCCTCTGTCTTAGACCTTCTATATTTTTATGAGCCCTGCACAAAGCAAGGATGCTACATTCTAACTCCAGTGTCTTAAAGTTCTTCCCTAGGTTTCCCTACGGACTTACCTCCAGAACTCACACCTGCTCCATGTATCCAACTTGCTCTTTTATCTTGTTTCCAGAGTAAGCCTTAAACAATTACAGTCTTATCTAAAATCCTTCCATAGTTCCCCATTTCCTTCAGAATAATGGCCAAATTTCTTATGATGATAGAGAACAGTGTTTCTCACACTTGAGCATGCATCAGAATCACCTGTAGGGCATATTAAAACAAAGATTTCTAGACCCCATTTCTCATGCTCAACTTTTCCCATTCAGTGGGTCTAGAGTGGAGCGTAAGAATTTGTATTCCTAGCAAAACCCCAGGTGATGCTGATGCTATCCATCTGGGACCCACACTTCGAGAACCACTGGCATAAATCTTTTATAATCTGGCCTCTGCCTGTTCGCCTTCCTTCACCCCTCACACCTGCCCTACAGTTCCCAAGCAGGTCCAATTTACTAACTTATGCCATGTTTTCTCACCAGCACACATCATGCACTCACCCCTACGTGTGCATGGTTGTTCTCTGCCAGGAATTCTCTCCACACTCTCCCCCATATCCCCACCACCACCACCACCACCACGTGTGAGTAACTTGCTCAGCCTCCAAAATTAACCTCCTTCAGGATGCCTCCCCCAAACATTCCTGGGTCCCACATGTGAGTTTAGGTGCCACTCCTTGTGCTGCCCCTATAACCACTTTTTACATCTTAGGTATAATATTTGCATGTTTGTCTGCTTCATCACTAAACTGGGTGTGCTTAGGGCAGGAACTGTAGCTTATTTATCCCTGTATCCCCAAGTGCCCGGCACATTGGCCAAGACATTGCAGCTCAATAAGTGGGGGGTGGGGAGAGAAAGGGAGAGAATCAGAGAGGAAGAGGAAGAGAGATGACACTTTTGGTTGTTGATGACTGTGACGATCAAAGACAAAGGAAAGGGTAACATAAGGGAAGCTAGTAACGAACATTATATATACCAATAACAAAAGACGAATACAAGTCATGTTTGATTTCTGTAATTACCAGAGATGCTCAAAGTGGTTACCATCAGCATCCAGACACTTCTGATTACGGCGAACTACTGCTTGAGCAACACTGACTATAGTGTCCCCTAGTATACATTTTTTTGGCACCCCCGATGTGGGTTGGGTGTATACACACACATATATATACACACATATATTTGGGCCTCATTTTTTTCTTCATGAGTCTGGTAAAAGGTTTGTCAATTTGTTTATCTCTTCAAAAAAAAAAACACCTCTTGGTCTCACTGATCTTTTGTATTGATTTTTTTAGTCTCTGTTTCATTTATTTCCACTATGATCTTTATTATTTCCTTCCTTGTACTCACTTTGGGCTTTGTTTGCTGTTTTTTTCTAGTTCCCTTAGGGGTAAAGTCAGACTGCTGATTTGAGATTTTTCTTGTTTCTTGAGGTAGGCCTACAATGCTATGAATTTTCCTCTTAGGACTGCTTTCTCTGTGTCCCATAGATTTGGGGTCATTGTGTTTTCATTTTCATTTGTCTCAAGGTATCTTTTGATTTCTTCTTTGATCTCATTGTTGACTCATTCATTATTTAGTAGCATGTTATTCAGCCCTCATGTGTTTGTGTGTTTTTCAGTTTTTTCTTGAAATTTATTTCTAGTTTCAGACCA